TCAATAGTAATAAGTTTCAAGTGTCGAACAGAAAAGCGACAAATAATTAAGACAGGTATAGAATTTATAAAAATTATAGAGTTGAGGAATTTCTTCGCTGATGACGTTCTGTGACCATACTTGGCGTTGTCATGACAGTTCAGTTTCAGTTAACTCGTTGATACCTGAAACTGAAAAAGCTTGTTGACTTATCTGTTTGCGTGTGTATCGTTTATATACTCTGACTCTTCCTCCTCCTGCTACTAAGCGATCGATTTTTATAAGGATGTTATAGCATTTGTTTAAGTGCAACAGAAACCCTCTGAATTATTGGCATAGAGTAAAGTCAATGTTCCAGTAATTTTTGGCGTTTTCCTTTTTTTTTTTTTTTTTTTTATTTATCAGAACATTGACTAAGTAATCAGCATCAAAAATTCATTCACCTAAACAATGCTGAGTTAATACTGCAAATATAGGCCAATTGATCTAACTCTTAATTACATTCAAAATTATCTAAACCTTTCACAGTAGTCAAGAACAGCAAAAAGAAAAGAAAAAAAAATTTGGTACTTATATTATTTATTGTTGACAACGTCATTACAACCACTTTTTACGTCTATATTTTACTTGCTGTTAAGAAAAGGTAAAACTTAAATTCAATGTTGAAAAGTCACCTTTCAAACTAATTTTACATTTGTTTAATTAATTTTTTAATTGTCGTTTAATACTATTAAGAGTTTTAATGTTAACAGCCTTGTTAATTATTAGAGCAATAATGAATTGTTCTTTCTGTTATTACTCTTGCTATTACTCTTATGTTTATTGTTCACAGATATACACATCATTTTTTTCTTTTTGATGTTATGACTAATACATCAGTGACAAAAGTTTTTTTTTTTCCTGAACATTGGTTTATATGTTAGACCAGGTAGAAAATTTTATTAGTTGCTGTTAAAATTGGTAAACAGTTTTTACTTTAAAAGTAAATTACTCAAAAATTGTTCCTCACTGTTGAAAAAGAAAAAAAAAATTAACAGGTGAATGAAACTGTACCCGATAGATAACTGGAATTATATTGGAACCAAAATATACATCCTTTTTTTTGGCTTCTCTTTTTCATCAGTTTTGTTCGTTTCTGAAAATATCAGTATATTACATCAAGTTATCACACTCAGTTATCACTTAGCCAAAGACAAATTGAATGTTTAATTCCAAATAAACTGGCAACAATATTCAGACAAAAAATTTTACCGTTTTATTTGTTATTTTGTACAACTGAAATTTTAGACATTGAATAAACCTGATAAAACAAAATAGAACAAAATAAAATAAATAAAAACAAAAAAAAAAATACTATTTAAGTTTGGGCTTACTGTTGTTATCACTGAACAAAAACCTCACTGAAATCTTTCAAGTATTGATCAAAGCTTCAAGTTTGATATTACAGAACCAACCAGATTGTTTCTTTCTTTTCATTGGGAAAAAGGTGGTGTATACTGTTTACCCATTTAACAACAGGTCAATAAAACAACAACAACGAAAAAAAAAAACCTACTGAATAAGACGGTATAGTTTCATTCAACAACTGACCGACATTGGCTACCTGTAGTTGGTATGCAATGTTGGTTATTTGCTTAAAAAATAAAAAATAAAATAAAATAAAAACATAAAAAGAAGTTTAAAAATTATAGAGGGAAGTAAGAGAGGGGAAGGGGATGAAAAGGAAGGAAAATTTTATAATTCCCCCGTTTTCCTACTTACCTTCTTTTCAATCTAATCCAGTTTATTGCATCTTGAAACTTGTTATTATTCCAATGCTGTTTGCTCAGATGATTGAAGCCAAGTAAGGCACGCATAAAATCTTCTACCTGGTTTTCTGAACACGAATATACTTGTGTAAAAAAAAAAAAAAAAACAAAAGAGACTTAAAAAACTATTTTTTTTCTTGCCTGTATTTGTCTCAATTTTAAAAAGTTTTCTTTAAAGTTAAAAAATTATAATTAAAAAAATAAAAAAACAAAAGCGAAAGCAAAAACAATGAAAAACGAGAACGGTGAAATGCGCGGAAATAACCATTGAAGTAAACAGTTTAATTTTGGTCTCAGGCAATGAACTCCGCGTTCCTTCAAGGAACGCTTGTCGCGGTGACGACGGCCCGTGGGATACAGAAAGTTAATCGGCATAGTTTCAACAGTAAAAGACCGCATACAATGCGACTGGCAAAATATTTGAAACTGTAAATCATCATATATTTATACTTTTTGTTGTTTCTTTTTTTAGCTTTAATCAACTATTTTTTTTTTCTTCTCTTCTATAACCACTGTACATTAAGTTAATTAATGTTTTAAATAATTAAATAGAAACAGTAGTTCAATTTTACTGTCTTCATGTATTTTTTTTTTAGACAATAACCATTGTAAAATCTAGAAATTTTATTTACACATATTTTGGCGACGAATCTTGATTACAGAATGTAAATTTTATTTAATCTAAATCTAACTACCAACTATTCACTATGGCTATTAACAACGCAACAACAAACAACAAAACTAGGCATAACCCAAAAAATTAAACATTTTGCTTAAAAAATAGAAAAGGAAATGTCAACAATAACAGTAAAAAAAAAA